TTTCTGGCAAGAAAAATAAATCCCTTCTTGCAACTCTGCATTTAACAGTGCTCCATCTAGTTCTGGTTGATGTGGGAGGGAGCAGGCTGCTAGGCAGTGCAGTTCTGCAGCATGGAGGGATGAGCTGAGGGCTCAGTGGGGATGCTGCCAACCTGCCCTGTTGTGCTAAGTGGCTTTGTGTGACTACACTCTTTAGAGGAGGAGAGTTACTTTCATTAACCCTTGGCTGCTCACTCCTCTTGGCAGAGAGGGGAGCTGGGATTATCTCTATGTTGATGCACAGATTTCAGCCCTCATAGGGCTGTTTAAACCCAAGCAGGGTGGAGAAAGGTTCAGCACCTGCAAGCAGCGTGATGCAAAGTTTGCTGTTGGACAAAGTGAGAACAGCAGCACCTGCTACCCTGTTGCTGTGGGGCTCCTTGCAAGCAAGCTGGCTCCTCAATCAGGTAGGTGTCTGTGTGTTTGTTCCTAGGGGCTGTAAAGCTCTGTGATGGAATTAGATCTGTGATTGAAGCAAAACACAGGAACTGTGCTCCTGCCTATCCATGGCTTAGGGCAGTAAGTGATCATAGAACTAAGGTTGGAAAAGGCTTTTGAGATCACCAAGCCCAATTATAACCTGCTGCCCGTGTTCCTCAATGCCACACCCCCATGGTTTTGGAACATCCTCGGGGATCCCAGTGCTCCATGGGCAGCTGTGCAGTGCAGCACTGCTCTTTTGGAGAAGCAAGAGCTCCTGTGTCCAAGGGATCCCAGGCACCGTGCAGGGTGATGCTGTTGGGTGCACTTCCCATCCCTCTGAGGTGGCTGCAAAGAGGATTTAATGCAGTTGAAGTTTGGGTACAACAAAGTCGAGCTGCAGATCAGAACCACATGCTGTAAGCGCCGCAGGCACCGAGTGAAACCTGAGCTGCTGAGGTTCCCCTTAAATCTGCACTTTCTCATTTGGCTCTCATATTAAAGCTGTATTTCAGAGCTGTCTAACCCTCTCGAAAGATGATGAATAACAATAAAAACATTCACTGGAGGACTGTCATCGTTTCCAAAGGAAGTGTAATAAGTTCTTTACGACAGGACTTTTTTGCTGCGTACACCCGTAAACTAGCTTTAAGTTACAACTTATTAAGCCTCTAAACAATTAGAGCTCAGCTGTGGGTGAGGTGCTGGGGCTGCTCCTGGTGGGTTCACCTCTGTTTGGGGTTGGAGGGAATTTCTTGGCTCTCCCATTCTGGGAGTGACGGTAAAGGAGCTGCCATGTGCCAGCACTGCCTGTGTCTTTGCACAGTTGGACTTCTGGTTGTTATGAGCCGTGGGTGCTGTGTTGCATTGGAGGAGGCTGCAGGAAAGAGCAGTTCAAGCTTTTCCACCCAACCTTATGTGGACTGGATTTGGAAAATGAGCGGTTGAGGGGATTGTAGAAGAGTTGTCCAGAAGGCACCCAGCAGCCTTTAGGGAGATGCAGAAGTCTGGCTGGGAGGGCAGACCCTTGTGGCCCCACAGTTACCCCTGAGAATCCCTATAGAAAAAGCAAACTGTGTGGTTTTAGGGCATTTGGAAGAAGATTTCTCAATATTGACTGTGGGAAATGCTGTTGCACAGGATGTCCTGCCCAGCTCCTTGTGAGCCTCGCATGAAACCCTTCTTGCTGGTTCATCCTCTTTGGAGATGTTGGTGTGTGCCCTCTAAAACTATTCCAGATACATTGATTTAGGTGGAAGAATGTGATAAAAGACCATTTTATGGCTCTTCTGTACTGAAGGATCAGGATGTTTTCTTTGCATTGGGGCAGCCCTGGCTGGAATTGCCCTGGCTTTGCTTGGATTGGAGCTGAGGTCTGCAGTATAAGCTGCTCATGGTGGTGTTGGGTTGGTGGTTGGACTTGATGGTCTTAGTGGCCTTTTCCAGTTGTATTCATTCTATATTCTGGGCTCTTCATCGTTTTCTCATTGTGTTGAGTTGTGAAACCTGTGCAGACTTATACACCCATGGATTTCCCTGGCACGTTTAGTTCTACAGCTGTAGTTCATTTAAGTGACACCCATTTGTTAACTGGGCTCCAGCCTCTGAGCGATCTCAAACTGAACAAAAATGATTTATAATTCAAAAATGAAGCTGTTGGCTGAGCTCTGTCTGCTGTGGCAAGAGGATGAGTTTATCTTGTACCACATGGAGATGTTTGCTAGATGGATTCACAATTCAAGCCCATTTTGCCCATGATAAAAGTAATTTGCCATTGTCTGAATGTCTATCACACACTCCTATAGTGTGACTACTCCTCTTGTCCATATCTCATGTTCATTCTGGCTTCTGCAGAATGGCACCCCATTGTGCCCTGGTGGTGGTGATGCTGGGCGCATTCAGGGGCCTGCTGCAAGCTTTCCAAAGGCAGACCCAGTGGAATTGGTTCAGCCTGTGAAACACTTTTGTTCTTTTTTTTTAAAGCTTTTCCAGGCAGATTTTGGTTTGTACTGCTGGCTCACTTTGTGTGTGTGTGTATATATGTATGAACATATATTTTCTTTTTGTAACTAATGCCACTAACATGGCTCGTGGAGCAGTAGATGTTATTGGCAGCAGGGTTATTAAGAAGCAAAACCAACCCCAAATGCATCTGTAACCTGAAATGTTTGATCCAAACTATTTTGTAAGAAGGAGGCTTTGCACTGGGGATTCCTGGTTACGGCTTCCAGGACATCTGAGCACCTCTTTCTTTGGGTGCCTGCAGTCCTGCAGCTGGTGTCCTCAGATTTGCGTGGACATCTAGAGAGGTGGTTTCTGGTTTCTCTGTCTGCCCATCCATCCCATGGTGTGTGCAGTGCAGAGGTTGGGGTGATGCTTTGCCACCTCCAGGTAGGAGCAGGAGCCTGACTTGTTTCTGCACATCTTTGCTCTAAGAAACTATATTGCCAAAACCATTTGTAAAGGATGAGGATTTGTAGCACATACCAGAATTATTGCATGATTTTGTTACATTAATTTCCTGATGAGTGACTTCTAGTCCAGCACTGATGGGCAGTGTTGTTTTGTTGGCTGTGTCACTATGACTTGCTTTACTGATTTTTAAATTGAGCTGAATAGCAGATTTGTTAGGAATTCACATTACTCAATATTTGTTTACTAAGCTCAAACGAGCCAATTCTTGTGCTCACTGAAATGTTATGCATAAATAATTCATGGATACATATGCATAAAGTAGCTCTTAAATGCAAGGCTGAATCCATGGCAGGATCCAAAGGATGGTTGGACTAGATGATCTCAGTGATCTTATCTGACTCTAAGGACCCTGTGATGCTCCTAGTTCTTCTGAGAGGCAGGGCGTGCTGGGAGAGATGCTTTGCTTAAGCCAGTGCAATTGGGCTACTATACAGATAGATATAACTATCTGCCAGGCCTGGGGAGCTCCTTCTGTCCAGAAGGCTTTGCTCAAAAGCTGAAGTGCAGCTGGGGGAGAGGAAGTGAAAACCTTGAGGTGGAAGGAGCAGAGGAGCCTGAAGCACAGGCTTGACCCTGGACCCATTGCCTGCAGCTCTCAGAGCTGACCAGGGATGCTCTCCTGTGCCTGGCACAGGGATTGGCAAACCTTCCTGCTGCTGGGGCTTGCTTTTTGCATGCATTTGTGTTCATTAAGAAATCAGACTCTGTTCCCCCAGAAGCATTTGTAGCTTTAGTTTTCTCCTTTTCCACTTGCCAAGCTCAGCATTGTAGCAGCAAATCCTTCTTTGCTCAGTGTGGAAAATAAGAAAAAGAAAACTGCTCTCTCCATTGTTATTTTTACAAGCTTCAGCCCCACACCATCAGCACTGCTGTGCATCTTTTGTGTGCTGATGTAGCATCAGCCCCATATCCCTCAAACCCTGCAGTGGGTGGAGGCTGTCTGCGATGGCTGAGGTCTCTGAGAGCATGCTGCTGGGCAGTGAGCAGGCAGCTGATGTGCAGTGATTTTTAACCATCTTTCAGCCCTCTGATTTCTGTAAGCTGAGTGCGTGTTGCACTGTTAAGCCACCTTGATGCTGTTTTGGTGAGCAAACACTGCTTGGCTTGGTGTGAACAGTGAGGAATCCCCATCCTCTGCTCCGATGGATACTTGGATGTGTGCTGTGCACAGGCATCTGCTTCCAAATGAATTTTCCAGGACTCCGTGTGGCTTTGAAATCCTTTTTCCTCCAGGTTCTGTTGGGGTTAAGGCGATAAAATAAAGCATTTCTCAATGGCCTGTGCCATCTAGTGGCAAAGCAGGGCTGGAGCCAGCAGAGCAGCAGGTTCATGCACTCAGAATGTTGGACCAGGATGGGATTTTCTCTCTGCTTGCATTGGTGCTTTAAGGGATACCTCCTGCAGACACCCAAGGTCAGGCTGGATGGGCTCTGAGCACCTGATGGAGCTGTGGGTGTCCCTGTTCATTGCAGCAGAGTGGGACCAGATGGCCTTTAATGGTCCCTTCCAACTCAGTTCTATAATTTATTTTGCTATGGTGCAATTGAGCTCATTTTTGGATGCCAGGTGAGCAGCTGAGGTGCACAGCCAGCCCTGAAAACTGAGAGGCAACTCATACTGGAACTAAAGCAGGTTGATGAGCCTGCAACCAAAGAAAAAAAGAACCTGGAACAACCCATCCCATTAAGCTGTGTATTTACACTGCTAGTTCTAAACTAATGCTCTCTGCTATTTACCAAGCTGAAACCACAATATTTTACCAAGTGCTCCAGAATCCAAGATGCATTTTTGCAACCCCAAGTCAGTGGAAACTTAGCAGTTTATTTTTCCCTTTGGAAAGTAACCAGTTCCTATTTTTATCCTGCTTAAAGCCCACACTGTCACCCACCAGACTCCGGCAAGCAAACATTTCTTCTGTCCTTCACACCGAAACTGCCAGGTTTCCCAAAAAAATCAAACAGTGGGTTGTTACGTGGTGACCCTGAAATAGAAATGGAAAATGCCCTGGCACCAATACAGATATCTGTCAGTAAGGAAAACAAGGCAAACTATTAAATGACATTTAATCTCGGGTTGCTGGGTGTAAGCCAGTCTTCCTTTCTTAGAGGGCTGGATGAAAGGTGGGTTATCCCATGTCGGACTGCAGTGTTGGTTTTACACCTGACCTCAGGTCCTGTTGGTGTACCCAATGTTGGTGATGTGTGCTATGATACAGCTGCATCCTGCAAAAGAAGATGGCTCCCAGGTCAATGGGAATGGCTATGGAAGCTAGTGCTGAGTTGCTGGTACTATTGGAGAGTCTGGGTTGGGTTTTGTTGAGCCCAGGACCCCATCATTAGGGTCTGATGGGGCTTTCTGTTGCCTGAATGTATTAATTTTTGATTAAATTCTCAGTGCAGTGTTCCTCTGCTTGCTGTCATTTTCTGCCACGCTCTGTGGGACTTCTGTGAGGAAAGCAATGATGGAGAACCAGTGAACTTTGAATCATTTTTAAGTTGCTATATATTAAATTATTTTACGGTTTTGGCTTTAAAGCTTCAGATTTAATTTCTTTGCTGTTTTCTTACTTGGCTTGCCTACCTGAACTGTATTGGGTGGGCTCCAGCCCTGGTGCCCACACAGGTTTCTCTGCCATTGCATACCACCAAAATTCTTCTTTTTGGGAGAAATGCTGGAAGAAGAAGCTGTGGGTGCCCCCTCCCTGGAGTGCCCAAGGTCTGGCAGGATGGGGCCCTGGGCACCCTGATCTGGTGGGAGGCAACCAGCCTGTGGCAGGGAGTGGGGCTGGGTGGGCTTTCAGGGTCTTTACAACTGAAGCCACAATGCTTTCACACCCAAGCAGGAGGTGGCAAAGCCTCAGAATTCTGCTGGTTCTGATCCAGCAGAACAGAATCACAGGAACATAGAGTAGCTAAAGTCAGAAAAGACCTAAGGTCATCAAGTCCAACCATCAATGCATCACCACCATGCTCACAAAGCAGCTTAACACAGAAGGGGCTTCATTACACAAATATTCAAGCTTTTAATGGAATACTCTGTTTATTCTAAGCACCAGACCTGGTGTCCTTTTTTCACTGTTTGATTTCATGCAGTGAAAAGTTCTGTTGCCAAAATGGCAGAGGTACCTTTGGGCATTTGGCTGGCTTTCTCACGATGTTTTGTGAACTGGCATCACCACCAGCATGTTGGAAAGCCCCCTCCTTGGTACTGATGTTAAAAAAGGAAGAGTAACACAGTATTAAAGTTAATTAAAGTTATTGGAAAGAAATGTTTCCAGCCAAACGTTTGTGCTGTAATCACAGTCCCAGCTGAAGAAGCTGATGTGAGCCCTGTACTCAGCCCTGTAATTAGTGATAATGTGAGTGGATCCATGTTACTATTTCTTTATCTTTTGGGAAGCAGCCCTCCCCCAGCCAATGCTTTACAGCATCTCCAGTGCTGTGTAGTGTGCTGTGCTCACCCCAAATGCTCTCACCTCAGCCCTGCTTGTGCCCACAGGCAGCAGTGATGTCTCTCAGCATCCTCACGTGGTCCAATGCAGATCACGGGGAGGTGGAAGATAAATATTGGGGTTTTCCTTTATACCCTTTATCTTAAGGAAATGGGCAATTGGTGACCATGTGTCCGTACAGTCCTCTCTAGTGGCTTTTTAACCTGATTTAAAGCAAGTCTACTGGAGAAGAGACAGAGCTTGTGGGGTTTCTAGCAGTGAAGAGTAGACACTGGGGCAGAGGAGGGGCCAGCAGAAGGAAACCCTATGCTGGGTTGACTGTGGTGGGCAGGGAGAGCCACCCATCATGGGAAAATGCACCTACGTTGTCCCTGGATTTCTATTTGATGATGATTATGAATGCAGGAACTGCAAGGGAAAAACACAGCAACTAGTGTACTGACACTGGGCTGAATAATGTTTGTTGGAGGAAATGGAGCAATCATGCTCTGTGTGCATGAAACTCCTGATGCAGGAATGGATGCAGACCACCTCTGGGATCTGCCTTCATGCCAGGCACTCCTAGGGATGTGGTAAAGCATGGGAAATGGCTTCTGCTCAAAAACACAGCCCAGGTTTCCTGTGCTTTGTCACAGCTTGCTGCAACAAGTGTTAGCTGCAATGTTTTCTTTGATTTTTCTCACCCTGATCTCCCTTGTTTTTTCATGCCTCTGGAGTAGTGCAACTGGGGATGCAGCATGGGAAGGTCCCAAGGATGCTCTATGCTGCTTCACTCCCATCTGCTAGAGCTGGTGTGTAGTTTATCTCAAGGGAAGGTAGTCAGTACAAGTGCCATAGCTTGCTGTCACCAGCCCTGTAGAATGGCCCATAGGGAATAATCCCACATGGAAGGGGAAGTCAATGTCACAATGGGTTTTTTTTCCCCTCTGCATTCTAGATTGCAGATAAGGTTTCTTGTTGCACTGAAGACTGCATTTTCTGGAAAATGCTCCACCACAATGTTTTTATTGGACCTGAACACAAAAGCATTGACTAAAACCTTCTCTTGCATTATTCAAATGGTTTTAACAGTGCAAAGGTAGGAGGCTGCAAGAGGTGTCTGAACGGTGATGGCTTTGCAGCTGCCAGATGCACGGTGCAGCAGCACACAATGTTCCAGCACCATGTGGATACAAAGCACAAGCAAACCATGGGCTTTGTTTGCTGGTCGGGCACTCCAACCCAGCACAATTATGTCAGATGTTAATTACTCAAAGCGCATATTGCGTGGGGACTTAGCTGTTTTGGTGAACTTTTGTTGAACTGCAAGTTCCCAAGGGGCCCTGCTCTCCTTGTGCCTCAGAGCTGAGTGCTGTGGTATTTCCAAGCATTGCACGGAGGGTCTGATGCCCGTTGGTGCTCAGGGCTGGTGCAGAGCCACAGTGCCCCCTGCTCCCCTCTCTTACTGCACCGTTGTATTGTTTGCTCACAAAGGGGTTGGGACATTGGATCCAACAGCGTGTTCCAATGTGATATTGGGGATACTATGGGCCAGAATGTTGGAAAAGACCTCTGAGATCCTCGAGCCATCCCACTAGGCCCACTGACCATGTTCCTCAGTACCACATCTCCATGATCACCATTGATCACCTCCTGGGATGCTGACCACACCACCACCCTGGGTAGCCTGTGCCACTGCATGACTGCTCTTTCAGAGAGGAAATTGTTCCTAATAGCCAACATGAAAGCAGTTTTTTTGAGACACGTAGGGACCTTTTTCCTCCCTGTCTAATAATTTTTCAGTGTTCTCTTGGTATCTCAGGGTTGCTTCCCTGACCTCGGTGAACGGGCACAAAGAAATGCTAGGTGATTGGGTTAGGAAGGGGTCCTGGTAATTATTATAAAACTATTATTAAAAAAAAAAATGAATTATTAGCTTGAAAAGGGAGAGTTGGTGTGTCCTACATGTTTCCATGCAAGTGGGAAAGGCTTTTTTTTCCCCATCTGGGTGGATAAGCTGTTTGAGCAGATTACCCCAGCAGCTTCCACCCCGCGTGGCTGTGTGTTGTGGCCGTGTGTTGAGCCCCTGCAGCAACAAAGAGCGGATTCACGGTGGGGTCCCGTCCCCATGAGGTCATTTTCTGCTGAAGCTCGGCTCATTAGGCCGGCAGCCTTGTTGATACAGCCTCAAAGTGAGGGTGATGAGTGTGACCGGGTTTGCTGCATTGTGCCTGCCTGGCGCGTGGAGCTCCGGCTTTGTCTGGGGCTGGGAATGGGGCCGCTAATTGCAGAAGCTGCCTGGCTGCTCCAGCCGCGTGTCACCATGAGGTCACTTCTATCCCAGTGCAGTGCTGCAGCCATCCCCATGTGACAATGCAGGATGGGTCACTGTGCTTCAGTAGGTGACTTCCTCCTGACCAACCCCACCACAGCCACCTGGCACCCTTCCTGTGCCCTCCTCCTGCAGCCCTCTGCCATGCTCCATAGGGGGACGTGGGTGCTGCCCTCTGCACATGGGGGTTCTGGGGGTGAAACTGGGATGATCCATCCCAGGGCTCACTGAATTCACTGTTTCACCGTTAGGATTTAGGAAGCAGACACCTGGGTCTTGTTTTTAACTGTTGTTTGAGGTGCTCAGCCTTCATCAAGTACCACATGCTGATTGCGGAGATGCTTTGCTATGGAACTGCAGGAAAAAGATGCTCAAATGACCTTTTGCAATTTCTGTTTTAAGCTAATTATTACTTAAATCTAAGGGTTTTATTTGTTAATAATTGTGGGTGAAACTCCTTGACCCATAAATGCTCTGTGATTGGTTTTGTTTTTAAACTAAAGCATGGTGGTGATAGGTTAATGGTTGGATTCTGTGATCTCGGTCATCTTTTCAAACCTTAGTGTTTGTATGGACAAATGAGGAGGAAGCTATGCTTCCTTTTACACCAACCAGACTGACTGTGCACTAAGAAGCCCTTCTGGGGGAGCTACTCATTTTCTAATCTTGTGGCAATAGCTATGTGGTATGGGAGTCCTGGGTAATGAGAACAAACTGATCTCCAAACACACTCAGTGTGGAAGGAAAGGGAGAAGGGTTTCAGCCGTGAGTCAAAAAAAAAAAAAAAGTTTATTTTAAATAAAGATTACAAAAATAACTTACTGTCTAAGATGATGTGAAAACCATTAAATAGCAATTTAACGTAATTATAATCATGGGTGAGCTAAGGGCTAGCTTACACAATTACCATCAATCTTTCTGCTGGGATGTTTTATCTCGAGCCTTTGCTCTCCTGCCTTCAGCCCCAGCAGAAATCCTGGGCTCAGAAAGTGGCTCAGTGACCACTGGGGCTGTTGAAGTCACCAAGAAGGGGTGACAGCCTTCAAAAGGGGGATAGAGGAGCTGGGGCAACCACTGATGGAGACAACTGTGCAGGCATCCACCCCTTGCAACGAGCAGCATCAGGCATCGTGTTCAAGTAGCTGCATTGTGCTGTGGTTGTCCACAAACTGGCTTTTGTACTGCAGGAAGAGAGTTCATGCTGAATATTCGGAAAACTTTCATCTCCATAAGGGCAGTGATGCACCAACACAGCTGCCCAGGCAGTGGTGGGTTCTCCATCTATGGAGGTGTTCCACAACTGTGGAGATATGGCACTGAGGGACGTGGCCATTGGACATGGTGGGCTTGGGGATCTCAGAGGTCTTTCCCAGCCTTAATTCTAGGAAGAAATAATAGTAAGAAAAAGAGAGAAAAAGCATCTGTGAATTGGCCCACCCAAGTGCTGCCCAGGCAAATGCAATGAGCACTGTGCTTTTTCTCTGGTGCTCAGAGAAGGGAAGTAATAGGATGGTAAAAACAATCTGGTGATGCTGCAGCATGTCACCAAATAGCAATAATTGATCCCTAGCTTGAATAACCTAGGGAGTGGTTTACGTGTGGGCTCTTCAGAGCACGGGCATCAAACCAGTGTCATGAAGGCAGAGGTGTGAGCAGTGATCATGGCCACATGTCTTGCTCCTGCGGAGACCTTCTCCTTGGGGAAGCATTGCTGTAGGCAGATGGCTGCACCAAGGCATGAGCCCTGGGCTCCCCTTGTCCATCTGCACTCCCTCCTGCTTCTGCTCACTTCTCCAGCCTGCAGAACCCTCCTGATGCTGTCCTGTGCTGAGACTTTTTGGGTTGATGTTCACCACCATGTGGTCTGGCTCCAAGAAAAGCCATTGGAAAAGGAGAAGGGCAGCCAGAATAGGGGGGATATGTCCAGTGTTGCTGTCAGGGAGCTCACCTTGTCTGCAAGCAAAGGGGTTGGGGCTCAGCTTTGCATAAAAATTGTTCTTAGGGGGAAAACGCATTAATTAATTTGATTTTCATTGGGAAAAGGGGCGGTGATCCGAGAGCTGAAATTGTCTGATTATTGCCAGCACATAAATTTCCCCTAGAAATGTGGCTGCACTTTATCCTAATCATATTCAACTTTAGGCAATGAAAATACTTCTTGCTATTTGTTTTGGCTTCTCTTGCTGTTACAGCGTCTGCAAAAATATGTCATGCATGAAATGCTCCCCTATAGCTTGACAAGTTATTCCTTATGCTCGCTAATTTTTCATTAAGAAAAATGACAGTAACACCAGACACCCAGTAAGGACCCCACGATAGCTGTGCGCTGAGATTAAAGGCTGAGAAGTAGGGGTCTGCTGGAATTGCTTTGTCTCTGTTATTTTAATGCATTTGCTAAAGGAGAAAGTCTCCTGACCCGTTCTTGCTACGTTAGCTGGAATTTTGCCTCTGTAAAACATGCACGATAGGTTGTAATGGATAGTTTTGTTCAAGGCAATTCTGCTGGCCAGCCGGAGCTGTTACACGTGTGTTCAGCCAAAATCTGCTGCTCGCTGGCTCTGGGTGCTGCTGGTGGTTGGCCTGGGGCAATTAGCATTGTGATAGCACAAATTGGTTCCAACCTAAACAAAGGGTTTGGGGCACTGGGTGGCACAGGAGAAGTCAGTTATGAGATCTCAGTGCCAGAACTCATTGGGGTGGTTGGGCACAGGGATCCATAAGGTATCCAGACAGTTTGGAAGGGATGGAGAGCATCAGTCCTGGTCCTTGCCATGTGGGTGACACTTTCCAAAAGTTAAAGCCAAGGGTGGTGGATCCTGAAGCCTGTATGTGTTTCTTAAGCAAGATCTAATATCTATATCTATCCGTATGTATATGCCTGTACCCCTGCCACACCCTGCTTTGTTATGCCCACTTCCTAAAACACAGAGAATTCAGTTACAGAACCCATTCAATGGGATTTGATAGCGGGGGTGCAGAGCTGAGCACCATTTGGGCGGCCCGAGGTCCCTGCAGCAAAGGCACAGCAGGTGAGCACGTTGGGATCTGAGAGCTCCAGCTAACCCTCTCCCTTCAGATCAGCACATAAAGCATGGAATTGAGCTCAGAGATGCAGCTGTGGAGTGCCAGCTTCCCAGAGTGGCAAGGATGGGCTGAGGCTTTGCGCAGAGTCATTTACATGGTAATTAATAGCGTCTGCGCGTATTTTTTGGCATGTGGAGGAGCAAGGATGGGAGTGTCCCCAAGGATCTGCCGTGTCCCATTGTGCTCGTGGGGAGCTCGTGCCCTCAGAGCAGGGAAGGAAGCAGAGCCCCCAAATAACTTCATTTCCTCCAGGACTTTCCCCAACAGATGGGGTGAAATTGCTATTGAAAGAGAAAGGAATCCCAAGGGAGGAAAATATAATGAGCTACGAGCAAGGGGAAAAATAAATGCTGAGGGATATTTATACAGCGTGGGGAGCAGATAGATCAAATCAGAAATTCCAATTAAGTCCATCATTTATTTCAGCGGAAATAATAAAATTAGAGATGGGCCCAGGCGGCACAGCGCAGGTTGGGATCCCGATCCAGACAGCGTGGTCCAGGCAAGGCCTGTGTCTGCTGATCCACATCCCATCATACTGACAACACAGAGGTGCAGGTCTGTAAAAGGGTGCTGCACCCTGGTTGGGTAAAGCAGCATCTAGGGCCATCAGGAGGGGTAGGCAGTGAAAAATGGGTGTATTAAAAGTTGCAGAAGGAAAGGATTCAAGAAGTGGGAGCAAACTGCCAGCATTCAATGGAAGGGGAAGAGCTGGGTTGTGAATTCTTTGAAGTAAAGTGAGATGGGACAGGGCATCCCTGCTGCTCATAGCACTGGTATGGAAAGCCTCCTTTTCTCCAGTTAGAAGTGACCCCAGTGAGCATCCTCTTGTTGCTGTGCAGTTGTGTTAAAAAATAACGCTTCTAGGTAGGAAAGGGCAGTCTAGATTTACAAAATGGAGAAAAGTATTTTAAACATGTGGAGCAAAATTGCACCCCAGCTTCGATGTGTCACTCCTTGGCACAGGCAGTGCGTTTCGCAGCCAAGCCTTGCAACTAACCTCTCTGCTCCTCTGTTTTATTGACTTTTTTTTTTTTTTTTTTGGT